TTGAAAATTTCATGAGGCTCAACGGACGCGGGCAGGCTTTGAACGTAACGTTCCCGGCAAAATTCCGATACCCACCGAGTGAAAAGGCCATTTTGCATTTGTAATTCGGGCGACGCCAGCCCCACACTCTCCACTTTTCCATAGGTGTTAATTCTTCACGGCCATTCAATTGAATTGAAATGGCTGTGCGTACGTATGGCATGACTAATTATACAGAGTACTAAATAGATGCGATACGTTTACCCATTCATAAATGTATATACGCAGACGTGGAATGTAGCGTCTAATGCAATATGATTCCCTGACTGCTGTATATTCCATCGGCATTTATTTGGCAATAATGCTGCGAGGGCATTGCGTCGAGGGAAATTCAATGCTTGCGCTTGTCAACGCATTCGTCGACATTTTTTTCTTATCCAGTTAAAAGTTTTAGATCCCTGGTTGCTACTGTTCATCAAACTTTCACGAGTTGATTATGCAGTCTTTTCTCCGTCATAACAAGCTAGTTATAGCATGGGCACAGCACTATTTTTTTTCGGAATCACAACTTGCAAAAAATAAGCTGATGTACGTTTGTCGTCGGATACGTGGAGCTCGTACTTAATTATTTAATGTGGTTTTACAGGTGATTTTTTTGTTCTAGCTCGAAAGTCTCGCTCGTATTAAACGATACGAAAACCGCAGACTAGACGCTTCCCAGTGCCGATGACATATCAGTGGTTTAGCGAAAAAGTCTCTAAACTCTAGACTAAAAGAACACAAAAATAAAATCTCTCTCTCTCTGTCTCTCTTTCTCTCTCGTTTCTTTTTAGAGCGCGATTTTGCCGTTGTAATATAAATAATGTATGAAATTGTACGAAGACTTTATAATCAGACTTTGTGCAAGTCTGTAAAATAAGGAAAAAGTGTCGATTCTTTTGAATTATACATTTTTTTTATATGTCCTACTGAATTTTTTTATTACTGATTATGGAATGCGATAGAACTTTTGCGTAGAAAACAGTGCTTTTACTCCAAATTCTTTATAATGTGTAGTGATCAATTACATTTTACACACTGGGTAGCTCCAGTAATTTGCTGAAACTGTTTGACTAAAGCGACGATAAATCGAGATTTTATGGCTCATATTTAGTCACTGTCAAATTGGGTGTCTCGATTTGAACGAAACAGTATCTATTATTTCTTTAATTTTCTGCAATACCCAACAGTCAAAAATACTCTTTTCACCTGATATGAAAAAATTCATCGAAAAACTCACGAACCTTTCCATTTATCGAAGGAAAGTATTTGTGCATCCATGTGGAAATGTACCATTCGATTTTGACGATCACTATGAGTACTTTTATTTATTTCAACAACAGGCGTAAAATATCGAAAGTCAGGAGCAAACAATAAGTACATAAATGCATCAAATGGACATTTATTAAAAACGTCTGCGGGGTGTCTTTCAAATTTATCAAATTCGCTTCTGAATTCATTTAACGGAATACAGAAAAATAACAATAATTCAAATGGTATTTCCGTCGTGGCGCAAAATTCGCTATGGAAGTAATCACTGTGTCATCTATCGAATTGTGTAATTAGCGATGTGGAGGGGAGAGGAAAAAAGAAAGTCTGGTTATTCGTACCCTTAGGAGTTCAGTTGCATTTGACAGACGCCGCTAAGTGGGCGGCGTACTCTTTTGAAAGGCTAAAGAACTGCCGCTGCAGTAGTCGTACACTCAAATCGAAGCTCTCTAATTTTCCTGCCGTCTGCGCAGTATTAACTGGCAATCGCTTTGACGCGAGGGAGAGGGTGAGCGAGTATCGCTTCATTCTATTTTCTTTCGCCTCGCAAACGACAAGCTCGTAATTCAAAGGAAAGCTCACGAGTACGCCTGACTATTTAAATAATGTCGTTACGACTTTCCAACGCTCTACGGTTCGCGTACATAATTTGAATATTTCATCATCGGAGAAGCGTCTCGTCCAGCGGCAAACACGAGTCAATGGTTAAAAAAAGATTTGACTTTTCAGCGTTTACTCTTTTCCACTCTCTTTCCTGCGTCAGTGCTTTGACTTTTACATTATTAATGTCATCGATTCGAATCCTTTGCTTCGTTAAAAGGTAGTTTCCATTTTCCCGTTTGAATATGTACTAACTAACGAGACGAATGTTAGGATAGAGATTCCTCCCCCGCCTCGCAGTTCCGGAATATGCTACCAAAAGAGAAAATGTAAAAACGTGCGCCGGATCACGGTGTTGTGATACCCATTGTCTGCAAAAGAATGGAAATGAACTATGGTGAAATTGTTGTTTATTTCTGAGAATCATCATTGACCAATGGTTACAAAAGTAAATCCGAGAACAACAGATGTAGGTCTTCTATCCATTTCAATGCATCATTTAATTATTTTCAATAGCAGCCCTCGAAGTGTATTCTACCAAAAACCAATCCACTTTGATTTTCCAGAAATATTCGTTTCAATAGAAGCTTGAAAGAAACCCATCTCCAGCTTTTTTCTTGAAGAAATAACTCGACTTCCTGAATATTACAAGAGCGGCAACGCAGGTCAAAAAGTCTAATTGCAGCCGTTTTTCCGCTTGCAGCTGCTTTCGTTAATTGCGCTGCGAGATCAATTACTTGTTGTCCTTAGCTGTGAATTAAGCGCACGTTTTTATCTTCAGCGTCAATATTTAATCGCCAGAAGAAGTTTCAATAAGCAACGGATAAAAAGCCTTCCAGCTGGTGGCACGTCGTTCTTTTTTCTACAGACGTTATCAATCAATCAAAAACGTGCTGTCCACGTGTGAAGCCCGAAAAATCTCCTCCATAGATTCATTTTACTGGTTGTCTACTGTCATTTGTGTTGTAAAACAAAGCACATCGGCGGGAACGCGATGGCAAACAGAGCGAGTCGACCGCGCGCGAATGTACGTATAGCATTCGCAGGGAGAGAAAACCGCGACGCGTTCAGCCGACCGCGCGCAAGCTAAATATCCAAAGCTTGTTTCGGCGGCCGACTTTGAATGCTAAACTTATTAAGCTCTCTCTCTCTCTCGCGCGCGCGCGCGCGCCAGCGTCAAAGCGACAGCAGCGGCAATCTCTCCCATACCACCTGCTACACGTACGAATACGTCTGTGTGTTTGTGTCTCGGTGTATGCGTGTATTATAAATGTAAATGCAATTTCGAGGCCTCCAAGGTTTCCCGCGCGCTGCCGCATAAATTCCCAAGGTCCTTCCTGTACTACCTGCCATACAACTGTACGCGTGCACGGACCAGATACAGGCGACTGATGACCTTTTAATGATGATCTTGTCGAAGAGCCAGGTATTATTTATGGACTTGTTATGCACGGGGTGCTATCTCGAAGTGTTCTATTTAAAATCGCACAATATGCACCTCAGGCTCCCATTCTCGTCGGCAATCGATAGAGCGGGAAAAAATAAGCTGGTATCGTGATTTTTGAAGTCTTTCCGCGTGTTTTCAGCGAAATAGTCGACTTTGAATTTTACCTGCTCTCGAGTCCACCTTGTTTTTTTCCTCCATTTCCGAAGCGTTTGTCAGTCGATCACATTTAAGAATCATCTGTCAAAGTCAGGATTTTTCTTTTTTTCTTTTCGTTTTCAGCGCCAGTCAGTGCCTTGCTCAGCATCCTGCAAATAACGAAACGGGATGCTCTATAATCCAATTTCCCGAAGAGCTAGGCTTCGGCCCGGCGTCGTCGGAAAAATAAGGCAGAGCACGCGAGAGCATTGCCGAGTAGTACGAGCGCCTCTTCCGCCAGGCATCGCGATAGATACACGTGCGTCACTCATACCCGGTAGGCGCGCTTTCTGCAAGGTGCTGCATTGTCTCGGCTCGCACAGGCGTGACGAAGCGCAGCGCGCGAGTATCGATTGGAAGTCGGCGTTGAGCTTCAGAACTCGGCTACTGGATATTGCACCGCGTGCATCTTTCTCTCTCGCTTTCTCTCTCCCTGTTGGTCGCCAACAACTGCAGTGTATTCTCGTATTTAGCTGGCTCTCGCTCGTTGGCCTCGACCATTCTTGGCGGACGGGAATCAATCGCGCAGCCGAGATTATTGTATTCGCGTCCCGATCGGGCAAACAAGCGCCAGCGCGTTACCCAATCGAGCGTGCGTAATGCAGCTCTCAACGCAATAACATTGCGCGGCTAAAGGATGATGGGCGCGAATTCGAGCTGACACGATGTCGCCGTTAATTGGCAATCAGGTAGCGGGGCTTATCGAGCTTCCAGCTTTACAGGCTATCTCTCTCGCTCTCTTCGCTTGCTTGTCCTTTGAACCTGGATTACACGAGAAAAATGAGAGAAATTGTTTCGCTTTTCTATATACCCATGAAGACGTCCAATTAGCTATCTTACGTTTAATAGCGGGCGGCGCGCTGGCCTAGTTATACTTCGTGTTGACTTGGCTTTTAATTAAAGTGCGTTTTCATTTTCTTTGAGCCCGTAGCTTACCGCCACCCATAGCCAAAAAAAGAGAGAAACAAAGTGTCGCGCGGAACTAAGCTTCGCCCTTGATTTCGAGCTTTTGAGTCAGTCCGAGGCGCAGGACAACGAAGACGCGCTTTTTGTAAATCGATCTGCAAGCCCTTGCATCCAACACACAGTTACGGATATTAGCAGAGGTTTCAGCTCGAAATGAATCTATGACGTTGCACGGTGAAGCAAGCAATGTAATATTATCCCTAGCAATATTATCTCAGTTTTTTTGCATCTAGTCGTAGCCAAACTGAATTTCCGTTCCGGTTTCGCGCAGTTGTATCTTGCTCGATTGCAACTGCGATGTATGATCCGGCCGTCAGTAATTTTATTTTCGAAAAAGATAAAGGATTAACGAAATTTAAAGAGCGAAGCAGAAGAGAAATTAGGCGAGCCTTTCACAGCGATCCACGCGATTTTCGCGCGTGCGCCCAGCGCGACGGTGAGCTTTGCTGCTTCAGCGTGGCCGTGCGAGAGCTTCCGATGCAGCTACGGCAGTCGTCGGCGCGCCGCGATACGAACACGACGCACAGTCGCACATCTCTCTGTCTGAGAATTCAACCACGTGATTGTCGGCGCAACCGATCGCTCTTGTCTTTTCTTTTCGTTTTCAACATCGTGCGTATGATGGTAGTTAGTGGTGATGGTGCAGTTGATAATACTCGCAGATAACGATCAATGTTGATCAGGTAAACAATCTCGCAAGGGAGTCTCTCAAGGAGACAGAAAAATAAACTCAATTGCGAGAGCAGCAAAGTTTACCCTCTATCTCCGTCTCTTCCTCGTCCACTGTTTGTCCAACGTCAAAGTGACGACGGCTTCACATGCGATTACTGGTCGGTTGGCAAACAGTGTGTTCGTTTGCCGGACTGATTACTGGATTGGAGGGAAAAGGAGATTCGTTTCTCCGTGACGTAGACGACATCGCAGGTGGAGAATCGTTAAGCGAGGACGGGAGATAATTTATTCTTTCTAGCTAGAAACTCGTTCAAATGTTCTCGACGATTATAATGATTCCGATCCATGCGTACCTTTAATTATTTTTCTCGTTGAATTTCATTAATGTCTACTCTTAACGACCAGGAATACATCTTCCGCATGCTTTGTTCTTTGGCAATCGATGAGAGTTTCAATAGCGTAAAAGCAATGGGATACCTATATTTTCTTCTTTTCACGTATAATAACAAAATACTGGTGTTCTATTGATTCGGAATAAACAAGCGTAAAATTCTTTGAGCAAACGCGCGATAGCGTGCTGCAGCCCTGGAGCTGTAATAGAGAACGAGAGGGAAAAGAGCGCGGTTAGCGGCATCTCTTCCTCTCTCGTAAACGGGCCAATTTTCCGTGGGACGTGAGCGTATCGCGAAATGCTCTCGGAGACAGAACAAAGAAAAAAAAAGTCCGTTATCGGCATCGAGTCAGTGAAGAGTTAACGTTTCATTAGCCTCTTCTTTGTCGACATCCCTTTTATTTTGAAAAATAAAAAAAAAAGTCGTTACGCGTTCTTTTTCGCGCGTGTCGCTTTCGGAGAAATTGTCGATAGTCGAGGGAAATTGCCCATCGTAAAAAAAAATATATCAATCGCCCCCGCCTGAAAATACCTTCGGCTCGAGTGAACGCGTCAAAGTGCCAATCTAGAAGTCGGAAAACAGGGCTCGCTGTCGAAATTCATCGAGCAATCAAACTTGTCTCCATCTCTTCTCGATCAACGTGAAAATTTATTTACCTGTTGCGCGTGTACACAGCGTTCTCGAGTCAAGTAGTCAATGCATCGGCATTTGTTATTTTGTGCTCTGCGATCCGGGAACATTAATATTTGATGAAACGACTGCTAGATTGGATTTTTGGATTACTGGTACTTTCCTCATTCTCTCTCTACAGTAGCATGGCTTTTATTATTCACACTCGGCTCGAATGGATTGGCAGTGGAGTACGCCGTAAAACCAAAACTGCTTCGTAATATCTCGTGAACGTAAAAGTCAATGCTAACGTTGCAAGCTCTTGCATGACTTGGTTTTGATACTCCGGAAGAAAGACATAAGAAACTGAAAAAAGCCGTTTCTTGCCCAGATATGGGGGCAAAGGTAATCCAAAGACTGCCGTGTCGGCGCTTAAGGCGAAGACACTCTACCTCAGGTTCAATTAAGTTCCCCTTAGCTTTATTGTCGCTCTCTGTCTCTCTCGGTGGATAAACAACGAGTTGGATCGATCGAACAGATGGCCCGTTTTTTTTTGTATTCTCAGCGCAAACGAGGAATTCCGGCGCCGCGCTAAAATTAAGTTTTCCGCGAGAGAAAGACAAACGCATCCTCGAAAATAGTCAATTGCCTCACTCTCATTCTGTTGTTGTTGAGGAGCGCAGTGGTGAATCGTGCAGTTAGCGCTGATCCGAAATCAGTGGCGGGATGCGACGGCTGGGAAAGTCATCGATAGACTGAGTGTTCGTCGAAGAGTGAATACGATGGAGACCAACAACAACGGCAACAAGGGAGGAGCGAGCAGGTTTGTCTATTACCTGCTGCTCGCGCAATTCGTCGTGCAGTTCGCCACTTTTTCCTATCTGTACCTGTGCTTTGTGAAAGTCGAACACGAGGTGCAGACCATCGCTGGGCGGACAGAAACAGCAGCGGCAGCGACCACTAGCCGCGGCTGTGGTTTCTCGCCGCAACAACCGCAACCTATTGCAAGGCGCAAGAGGAGCAGTGCTATGCCTGCCACTGATGACAACGCTGTCGCCGAGGTATTTAGGGTGAGTCTAGCTACAGTCTAATTTACGTGCGAGATCCTTCGCAAAAGTTTTGCTAAGCATCGAAACACTCATCTCATATTTACCAACTTAATTGTTGTCACGAGATTAATGTACATCAAAGAGAATTGGGCAAGTAAAATTTTGCCATTAACTTGGCAAAGAGAACGTTGTTATCGTCGATTAATGCTATTGAATACCGGAATATAATTCGGAATCAAAATATAATACTGTTTGTTTCACTTATTTTATGTTTCAATTGTAAATTCTGCTTTCTACAAATTTTCATATTATATACTTGCGCAACTCATTGAAATTGACGTGTCTAAATTATATACATGCATTTCCAATAGGTCATTATAAAATTATAATTTTAATTATTTACATTCTCTGGAGATAGTGCTTTCATATTTGCGCGCTAGCATCAAAATGAAAATGAAAGCAACACTCGGCCGCTGCTGGCTTAAAACAAATTCGCTATTTACTCTTTCTCTCTCTCTCTCTCACGCTTACTCCGAGGAAGAAGCAAATGAGTTTCATTAATAAACTGTTTTGCCGTAAAATCCACTTAAGTCTATTATTTGAACGCGCACAGGAGCCGCGCTCGTTTCTTGTAAAAACTTGGTAACAGGACTTTGCAGTCGTAAGACCGTTAAATCTCCCGGTCATTTTGCCTTTCGTAAAACCGTACGAGAAAATACGGGAAGAAAACAATACAACGATTAGCGTAATAGTCAATTAAACTTTGTTGAGAAAGGGAGTGCCGTCAAGCATGCCAAAAAAATATACAGCGCAAAATTCCATTTTCGAGAAAAGACAATCCCGCAAGTTAATTTGATTTCCAATATCCTATCAAGAAGGAGAGAGATGGTGGCGAGTGAAAAATTAAATTATAAAGCGCGAGATAGAGAGAGAGAGAGAGAGAGAGAGAGAGAGAGCCCCCGAGATGATTGGCACGGAATAATTTGATACGCTGCAATTTCCCGTTGTATATAAATCAGGCGAGAGAACTTGGTTTTTCCTCAGCGGCTTAAATATTTGCCGGCTTGACGTGGCGACCCTTCTCGAGAAATTTATCGCGTTTCGGCCAGGAAATTAAACGGGCGACTCGCGAGCTTGTGAGCTCTAGAGAGACAGAGATTATATGACCAAGCCGAGATTCATCGTCAGAGGATAAAGAGAAAACAGCCTATACGAACTTCAGTCGTATATTACGGTTCTTCTGTTACCAGCGCGCGCGTCTTTGCATGGCTGGCAGCCCCACTGGATCAATGAATCGCTCAGTGGGGGCTGACGTTTTGGTAATTGTCAGCTTTTTCCTTGCACCTCCGGGTTTTTGTCGCTATCTTGCTCATAAATGACTCTCTAATTCGGATATGATGGCTTGCTTTAATTAAAAATGAAATTGTCCTTTCACGTCGGCCAAAGTTTTTTTCATTAGTGATAATAAATGAACGCTGATTCATGTCCACGGTGATCTGATAATCCTCTAATCCAGTTTCGGTAAGGGTGCGGATGAAATCTACGCGTATAGTTCGGGGATTAATGCTACCCTTGCGGATAGAAATTTACCATTGAAAAAGTACGCGAGTTATCGAAATCACAAAAAATAAAAAATGCCTTTATGCCGATTCATATAGGTATGCAATCAATTTATCGGTCATGTTGTTTATAAAAGATCGAAAAGAAATGTGAAGAACCAATATTCAGAACGCTGATGACTGAATCATAGGATCAATAAAAGTTTCATACGATACTTTTTTCTTTTTTTTTATATTCATCAATTTACTATTTTTATTTGCATCCAGTCAACTTGGAATATCGTATGCGCTCGCAAATAGAAAGTTCATAGAATTGAAAATTTGGAAGCAGAGACCCGTATTCATTGGATTCGACGAAAATAAAACAAAGTTTAATAAACCAATAGCTTGAACCGATACCTTTTGCTTGGTTATATCGTCAGAAGTTTCGCCAGCCCACGCTATTACGCCGCACCGCAAGCAATCCGACGAATAAGCCACGAACTTTCGATCATCTTTTTTCCCCTTTTCCTCCTCTTTTATCGGAACAACGACCCTGCTGAACTCCTGATCGAGGTCTTATTAAGATGCCTTTAAGTACGCCATTGAAAAATGCAAGAGAAATAGCAGATCAAGTCCCGACGTTAGCAGAGCTTGTACCACAGACGCTCGCCGCCCTCATAGCGCCCCCGCAGAGTCTTCTATACTCTCTCGCTAGTTGCGCACATCCCTTATTTGCCATTCACTCGATGCCAAAGATGAAAAATCTGGGATAGGGATTGTGATGGCAAGAGAGCTTGAGCGAATCAGAGAGCGTCGCGCATTAACTATCTGCATTTATCTTGCAAGAATTCTTGGTAAGAGGATCTCACAGGGATAAGTGTGTAACGAGCGCTCGACGGCTGCCGCCATGTGGCCATTAATTGCAAAGACTAACGTTGACTTTTAAAATCGGAAGAGAGCTCACCGACCGGATGCATTTGAAGTTTCTAGCGAGTGCCCCGCTGATGGGATTTTCCGCGAGTGCAATTAAATCGACGGTGTCCTGAATTTTTTAGCGCTCTCACTCTCTCCCTTTCTCTCACTTCCTCCTGCTCACTCTGCAATGCTATGTATTTTCCGCCGTTGGGAAAACGCGCGAGAATCGCGTGAAATTGAAGAGCTAGAGTAAATAGAAAGTATTTGTCCTTTCGTGCGTAAACTTTGAGCGCGCGTGCGAGGATTGCAATTTTGTTGCGGCGCGAGCTCTCATTTATTCCGACTTTAATTCAATTTTTTACACCCGGACTGTCGCTTTGAGTTGCAATTTATCAACGCCCGTATGCTGTTTTTTAGCTTTGCGCCGCCACCGTCACAAAGCCGAGTGATGAAAGGAGAGTGCGAAATGAAAACAATTAGTATTTTCACGTACGTTAAAGCTATTTATTAACGTGCATATTAGAGATGAAAACTGTGGTTATGAGAAAGTATTCAAATCTAATTGGTAATGCTGAGAACGATAATGATGTTATCGTGTATCGTTTTAGTCATTGTTGCACAAACATTTGCATGTTTTATTCTAAGACAATTAAAAATAATGGAAAACAAAAATTCGGTTAGTTTTTCACGTCTTTCCAGAAAGACTGTGACAATTAGCAAAGCTGGTTTTACTGGTAATAACGTCTGGCGCAAACAACTTTGAGCAACGGGAGCACGATATGTAGCCTTTTTAATTTTTAAACAATGATTCCAGAAAACGAAAAAGATATTCAAGAGCTGAAAACTTTCAGATGCTTATGAGATATCACAGCGTTTGATAAAGTGCTGCAAATGTAATTCAATTCTCTGTATATTTCAGAACCGAGATGACAAAGACTCGAAGGAGACAAAGACCGCCTCGCTGAAAGGAGACGAATGGGTCTGGGTAACGGCAGATACTCGCATACCGGTAAGTTTGCTCTTTAAAAAAAAAACAAAAAAACAAATAATAATAATAACAATAATTCGAGGGAAAAATAAAACGTAGGTGGAAAAATGCCAGGAAGGCTGCTATATTGAAAATCGAAAAAATCCAATCGCTAGTTCTCGAATGGCGGCCGTAAGTTATATATTAGCACTCTCTCCACCAGGCCTTGCCGATTGATTCTGAATATTTCACGCCCGCGCGCATGCAGCAGACTCTGCCATCAATTTTATTAATGGCTCTGCGCGTGGGTTGGCAGCCTGCGCGCGACTTCTTATTGTTGCGGTTATATTCCATTCCCCCCGGTATTTTCTTTCCGAGCGCTTGTCACGAGTAATTCATTACGCGTCGCCGACGTCGTCGCGCGCTCTTTCCGATAATGGCTATCCGCAAAAAATGTCACCGCGAACGCTAATTTATATCTCGAGCAAATATTGCTTTCGACACTTTACGTTGAATTTACCGAGCGCGTTATTACTCGCGGCAGTATGTCAGCTTTTGTTATTCACGCGCGTCAGTGCTTCCGTAAGAAAAAAGCACGCGCCGGTGTTCGTATCGCGTTATTATTCGCATCTCACGCAAAGCCAGAAGGGATTATCTGCCACGGGGAAAAATATCAACGTTGTATTGTGAGATCGCGCGTTGAAAAAAAAATGTAAATGCTGTCGCGTCGGAGGCTTCGATATTTATCGCGTGGAAAACGTAAGCTTCCACGTCATTAAACGGCTCACCGCAGAAGGAGGGCGAAATCGGCTTAATGCGCGCCGAGTGCATGGGATCAAAGGGTCGTCTAATGATGGCGATCCGAAGCTTTTTGAATGGCTGCCGAGGTAGCTTGTCGTCAATCGATTTCTTTGATAGTCGACGAACTTATATAACGTTAATTGGGAAATGGGCGCAATAGCTATGCAAAGTCAGAGAGGTTGCATTGTTGAATACTTTTCAAGAATCACATTCTTCGCGCTCGTTAGCAAACTGCTAAGTCGCGCTGCGAAAGAACGCATTTACATCATGAATTTCGACCGTTAAATATGAAAGTTGCAATCCTCCCTTTGCTGAGCCGAACAAGTTACTTGAGAGACTAATTATACAATGCTAATTTCAGTTCGTTGTAATTTTAAATTTCTTCTATCTCTTCTTTTATTTTACGGTCGAGTCATGGTGCATTGGCCTGTAATGCTCCTTTTTTTATGTAGACCGTATAAAGTGAGTTACGACAGTTGTGATTCCGTCAATAAAGATACCTACTCCATTACTCGCATCGAATGAAAAGAGAAGGAAAACAACAATAAAAATAAGTTACGTTTTTTACTCATTTGATGACAGAGACATAACTCGATCGCGAGTCTCGCCGAATGGAAAAGAATTATGATCTTGCGCGACACGCGTCGAGTTCTCGGTAAAATTATTAAATCAAAGTTTGATTCAACTAGTTTTTAGGCAAGACATCGCAGTCAAAGTTATCCGCAGACAACGAACGATCGACGCGAAAGCTATCGCAGCCAAGACAATCGAAATTAAAGCAATTGTACCGTGCAACGCGTCGTGTATAACGAGTAATTCCCGTATCTCTGGTATTTGTTGAGAACCCCTCTTGCCTTCGACGCTCGCTCGTTCGATGTATCTTTGTTGTGTACGACGGAGCCTCTAATTGAGACGAACCGCTCACTCAGACTGCTGTTGACGAATCTAACCTGACATGAATTAAAGCTTAATCAGTCGGGTGTCACAAGCGTGCTTGCACGCGGCTTCGCGAAATATGTTGGATATCGAACTTCCGATGTCGTTTTCCCGCTGCTTTGTCAGTGGGTTGCACTTCTTAATGCTCAAGGGTATGATCCAGTTTCAAATAAGCACCATGTAAAACTGGGTTTAGTGAGCTTAGTGACTTTTAGAGGTGCTTTTGTTTGAGACAGCGCGTCATCAATCGACAAGGTTTATGTGATAAACTGCTAATATGTAACTTCCCTCAATTAACCACGCTGCTCTGGTTTAATATAGTTCATGTTTTTTTCTTTGAGGCAGTCTTGGAACTTGAATAAAAAAGATAACACAATACGTAAAAAAAAGGTTTATTAAAAACGATAACAATGTTGACGTATGTAACAATAGTCAGAAATAGTCTATATATCAATTTATAGATGTATGTATATTTTGAAATTTACCATAATTAAGAGTCAACATATTTTGAACATTTTGAACAATATGTTATACGTTGATATTCACATTCTAATTTTCCATTATAATTAATTTTATGTAATAAATCATCAATTTATTATTTAGTTGTTCAAAAGCTATCATTCATATAAGCGTAGGAGAATTTTATTAAATTTCAGAACATACATCCATCTATCAATTGATATACAGACTATTTCAGACACTATCTCTACACACGTCAACATTATTATTGTTTGAAATAAACATTATTTTTTAAATATGCTGTTTAATCAAGTTACAACAAATTTTATTAAGTACGATAATAATGTTGTGTGTAACGATAGTCTCAATTAATTTGTATATCAATTAATAAACGTATGTATGTACTGAAATTTGCCATAGGCATCATGGTATCAAAGCGATTTTCTTACTACTCCATTTGTTTGCAAGCCTAAAGTTCCTTTGTGTCGCATTTGGAATGAAAATATAGCATGCATTTTATTTTTCATTCTAGCTATCATGTTAATTAGAACAATATTGATAAATACAGCTGCAAGTACAGAGCTTTGTTAAAAAGAAGCTTGCGCATACAAGCGTGGATAAAGTTCTTTGAATCGTGGTAAACATCCTGTGAGCCAGTCGAATATAACTCGCAGCTACTCGCTTTGAGAGCGCGTTCCATCGCAGTATTTACATCAACCGCAACACCGGCATGGAATCGCAGCACTAGCAGCTCTAGCCTAATAGACGTAAATGCGGAACCAGCTCTCTCTCTCTCTCTCTCTCTCTCTCTCTCCCCGCAGTTCAGCTCGCGCACAGTGCCATTAAAGCTAACGTTAATGTAGTCCGATTCTCGAGGCGTTAAGGAAGTCGAGTCGCTCTCCGGATTATCGTTCGCTTACCAGCTTCTTTCCCTAACGTAACTTTTCAGATTATTTTTGTTTCTTACTTTCATCTTCGTGCGTTAATTTCGAATGCGACGCACTCGTCTTTCGAATTAGTAAACAATTTTCCAAACGCGCATGACAACTTTTGCGCACGCGTACTTGAGGCTGAAAGTTTTAATTTGCACCGCGCGCATGCCACTGAGTTTTTTTATTTTAACTTTGGCTAATATGTACGAAAATGAAAGAAAATAGTGCGACGGTAAGAAAGAGAAAAGAATTGGTATAATTGCCGTAGACGCTCTCAAGTATATCTGATCCATTTTATGCTTATTAGGCAATTCCGTGGCGCTCCATGAAGCTCGCCTGTAAGATCGTAAAATCTTCTAATTAGATCAGATAAGGCTTATACCCGCTCTCTGACATGTAAGTTTTAGGAAATTCAAATTCCACGTATAGAGATATATACATATGTCGGTACATACATCTATAACCGGATAGATCGTCCGTGCGTAAAGATTCGAGATTACTTGTGGACAAAACGTAAATCAAAGATATCAGAGCAGCTTGAAAAAAAAATCGGTCGTTGGGTTGTATTTGCTGATTGAGTTGCCTTTATTTATCGCGTTTCACGGAAAATCCGCTTTTGATGATTTATACTAGGGAAATTGGACGGCTATCTTGCACGGTTTGCTAGTTTTGAATTTTGACAAAAAAATATTTTTGACAATAATTAATAGCTGACAGTATATTATCTTTTTCACATACATGATAATTGTTGTTTGGTACTTGACAAAAGTGTGATTTATTTGATTTCAGTACGAAGCCATCGAGACATTCTGCCGGAAGTCAAGCGAGTTTTGTCCACCTGGTTTACCTGGGTTGCCTGGTGCCATCGGTTCACCTGGTCAACCTGGGTTCAAGGGTGAACGTGGATATGACGGCGAGCCTGGTCTACCTGGACCTATTGGACCTCAGGGTTTTCCCGGACCGAAGGGCGATCCTGGACTCGACGGCGTGGACGGTAATTCATTGAAAGCGTTTAAAGTAATATCCAAGCGAGGAAAAGGTTGGTTGCATTCATGGCAATGAGACATCATTCTGAGTAAAAATGGAAAAGAGATTCAACCACAAAACATCAGGCACGCAGCGCGACATCAAGTCCCAGATTCAAGTTGTTCGGCCATGAATAAACATTCAATTAATTCCTTTGGCGTCAGGGAATCTGAGCATTTCCGACTGACAATGCTGCGGTTACAGAAGAGCGAGAGGCAGAATGTCGAGTTATGCAAGTTCATTGTCTTGGGTTGCAGGCATACCTGGCGAGCCGGGATTGGATGGTCTACCAGGCAGAGCCGGCAATGACGGCGTGCCAGGCGAAGACGGCAAACCCGGACTCAATGGCACTCCCGGTGCACCTGGCCGTAACGGCACCGATGGTATGTATATCTATATAGGCTCGTTCTATCTTGGCCTAATACCCTATCCCTCTTATTTATATCCTCAATCGCGATCCTTTTAATCCAACCTCTTTCGGCCATCCTATCCGGGAAATAAACGTTTAATTCTTCATTACGAGCCTTATGCTGCACCAACTCCATTACTACTCCTATGTATTTCCGTTCTCGTATCTTCGTCAGAAATGTTATTAGTTTTTTTTCCCATAGATATATTAAATACCGTCTCCTGCGTATATGCCTGGTGCTTTTCATTAAACGTCACAAGGGCTCGTGGCTTTGTAAATGTGCCTTTGTTAAGCTAATATTATTGCTGCATATTCGTTTTGAAAGGCAAATTAGTGAATCAACTGACATGCGAAATGAAATAATTTGTAAATAAAATTGTGGTCCTCGTGATAAAATAGTGAATTATGAAAAAATATGCGTAATTTAATAATCCGTTCTGAATTCATATACGACCGCAAATAAATTCGCCTCATACGACTTAATTAGGTATTAAGCCCTTTTGCAGAATAGTGAATGGTCGTGTATTGGATGAGATACGCGATAAAGCTATACACTACTGCAAAATGAAAATTGACGCTTCAATCTCGGTAAAATAATTTGATAAAGAAATTATATTTAATTACGAGCGTTCGGAGAAGAAAGATCATCCTCAGGCGATTAACCATTACTCTTTCTTTCTCTCTCTCTCTCTCTCTCTCTCTTGTACGCAACAGTTTCAGAGTATAGAACAGCCTTTTTGTAGCCTAGTGCCTCTCGGCTCAATTACAAGTTATCGCTCTAATCTCGCCGCGGAGCAGCCCGCCTTTTTTTCTCTTTTCAACTCTTTCTCTTCGCAGCCCGTCTACGCTGTCTATGCTCTCTCGCATCTCGTCGTTGATCATAATATGTATATATGCGAGCTCCTCCTTAGGACACGATCGTCGAGCGTTTTACTTTTTTATTTGCATTTACGTTTACGCGAGTGCAACAACGTTGGGCAGAGCGTGAAAAATCACCCGTCGGGTTGAGTGAAAAATCGCGCAGTCTAGGTTCGAGGCTCGGTCGTCCACTTTTTTCCAGGCTAACCAAATAAAGTGACGTCGCGTCGACGCCGGTTTTTTTTCCTCTCTCGGTGGAGAAGCAGTAGGTAAACTCGCGATATCGAGGCGCAAGGGATACTTTTCAGGTCGCCCGGTCGTTCATTAAAAGATGCAGAGCTGTAAAGAGAGGCCCGCGGGCGAAAGTGTGTCGCGTCGAGGTGTCACGTACCGAACGAACACCCCACTCCGCGCGCGTTCGTGCTTTTCTTTCGGTCTCTTTGCCTTCAATTTTCTTCGTGCGACAGACGCGCGCCAATTGATGGTCCATTTCCGACGACGACAATGAGCCTTAGATGGCAAAGAAAGGCGCCGCACTACCTTTTTTTCGCCGAGTCTCCAGGACTTAATTCAGAGCTAATATTAGAAAGAAGAAAGAGGTTGGTGATGGGAGAACAAACACACTTGACAAACGTTTTCTTTTCTGCCGAGGCGCGCTCTAATAGTAACAGACAGCAGCAGCAGCTGCAGTTAAGTGTCGTCAACGTAGTGGGATCGACTGCACTCCAACGGTCTCGAGGTACTAGTGCTTGAAATACTGGACTATGGCCTCTTAACCGTTGCGCCGCTGCTCAAGAGAAAAATCTTTTCCCGATAAAATGCTCGATCGCCCGTGTATTTGTTTCACTCGAAGATTCCATTTAACTCGTTCCACTCTCGCTTCTCACCGACTGGCGACGATGAGACATGCCTATTTAGCGATTTAATTAAGCTTACCAGCCGGTTGACATTTGTGTTGCGATGTGTACTGTTCCTCTTGATGAAAGACTTGCTATTTGTAACGAGGCGCAACTTGCATTGGCGGTGGTTTTTAATTTTTTTGCGAGACATTTGCTGACATTCAAGGAAAATACTTTCATATACAGTACTTCGATGCGTGTAGTTTCTTTACTGTGAAGTTGCAGCTAGTTTAATGAAGGCAACAAAATTCCTTTTCATTTCTTAAATCTCATTGAAGCTAGCTTATTCAACTTGACAAGAGTACACGAGTCGTTAATTATATTTCATAGAGTCTTTCATAAAAATATTACTCACACACTTTTTTTAATTTTTCAGCATAGTTGTAAGCTTCTTTTACAGAACATCGCGCGATGGCTCTTTATAAAGTGGTAAACAAGACCAAAAGCGCTACTGTATGGTCAAGAGGCTGGGCGGAAAAAAAATCGCGAACTCATGTCGAAAACGAGGCTTTCGACATGGGTGACCTCATCTTCGTGTGTGCGAGTGTGTCGTGTGAAAGCGCAAAATGAGCTCCGGGAAAATGGTCGAGCCTCGCTGGAAGTTGCTCTCGAGTAAACACATTGCCCTGAATAAAATCTAACCTTTGAGTGTGTGTCTGTGTGTATGTGCGTGTGTGTGTTATGCGCGCATATGTGTGTGTGAGAGAGAGAGAGAGAGAGAGAGAGAGAGAGAGAGAGAGAGAGAGAGAGAGAATGAGAGTAGACTACGCCGGAACTAATCCCCCTGCCACTCTCGAAAAGTTGACTCCTCGAGGCTTCCGCTCAAGTTTCTCACTCGCGTATGAAAAGAGCTGGCATTGTTTTGCACCCTTCGTGTCCCTTTTGGCTATTTTTCTCGCGAGTAAAACTTTGCCTAGTATCAGCTTCGCCGTAGAATGCGCGAGATAGGAGAAAAAGAACCTTATGGAGAGTCGTTACATAAACTTTTTATATTGGGGCTCGCGCGCTACTGCATATAAGGGCAAATGCGAGCGCGTATCCTTTATGTATTGCATGTAAACGCTTTTGTCGAAGTACGCCCCGGATTGATTGATGCGTGCGCGCGCGCATCTACGGACTCCTGACGCTCTCGTGCATGGCAACGATCACGCGCAGAATTCACATTCGAAGCGCTTGCAGATATGTCAAATTCAAGTTGGCGTATTGCTGTCCAGTTAAAATAGTTGTTGCACAGTTTCGCGCAACAATAACAACGTGCGATGGCGAGAATTGTCGTCGAAGATTTGTTTGTGCGTGCTCTCATTGTTGTTTGTCGCCAGATAAGCGAAGTATCTAATTCTTATTCATGGAAGATGAATGAACATCCCGGTAAACAAAACTGCGCGCAGGTACTGCCTCTGTTGACCCAATGGATCAGTTAGTCTACGGAAAAGCGATATTGTCTGAGATAAGATCTCTCTGGACTGAAATAGTCTGTGACGTTTACGCGCTCCCTGTCAGTTACTATTCGATTGGGGATTGTGCCGAAATGCTACGCATCAGTCGTTTTTTTCTTGGTGCTTACGGTATGACTGATGGTTACAGAGTGGTAGTAGACAATGCACAGACTCTATCCTGTGATGTATATCTTTCTTGTTGATGAATTTGTGATGGATGACGGTTATTTCGTTAGTCTCAAGTTTAAAGCGGCAAATCAAAATGTACTTTGCAATCAAATTCAACTCGTTTAAAAACAATTACACAGGGACAAACAAGAATTTCTCCCGACGAAAACAAAGAATATAATGACGCATGAAATGCCAAGCTCCTTTCGATGCATTTACGCTAAAAATTTTGCATCTCCATTTTCCATGCATATTTATTTCTATAAGAGTAGGGTGAGCGTTCTCACGGGGAAGGGCATAGGATAAGCCATATCTGTGGAATATAATATGCTGCGGTATATAAGAACCTAGACGTTGCTGAATAATCGATATATATGCTCAGTAGAGCGAATAAGGGAAGACACGACGGCCGAGCGCCTCGAGTCGAATTCATCTTCGATATATACGAAAACCATGGTCTGCTTCTGCGTAACTATGTAATATCTTCACAGACATCTTGTGAGAAAAATTGATCCTACTGAGAGAATTAAATAAAACTTTCAGGGATGCAAATAACAATCCAGAACCGTTCTCGCGATAGAGAGAATGATGTGAAAGCAAAAATTGTATATTATATTCTTACATGTGGCCGATTGAAATATGCATCAGTAAATGAAATTCAGTGTAAATGCTTGGTCACACAAAGAAACAAGCGCTAACGTGGGTTTAATCCGGGAATATTGCTTCGTCGAAAATACACAGACAATACACTAACAAAACCTACGAAAGGCCTCTCTCTCTCTCTCTCTCTCTCTCTCTCTCTCTCTCTTGAGTTTGCAATACTCTCAGCTTCGTTATCATATGAATCATATTAGCTCAAAGGCGGCTTTGTAAGTAGAGCTACCCGCTCGCGAGAGGCAAAGGTTGCTTACATCGTATAGATATATGTACATCGGCTACCACCGGAGCTTGCTCTCTGCGGCCAACTGGAGTGTGTTTCCGACAGTTCTATACACTCCTACGCAACAAAGCTTGAACTCTCCTCGCGAATCGAGTCAGCTTTTGAAAAATCAATTCTTTTTCTGCAGGATTTCGCCAAAAGTTGCCAAGTTTTCACGACGACGTTAACGACGCCGCCGTCGCCGACACTTTATTTTCGTTTGCCTTGAGCGGCACTGCGCGCGTTCGTCTTTTTCGTTACTTACTCAACAGTATTCCCATAACGAATGGTGCGCCGCCTTTGTTAATTGCTCTTCTAGGCGTAATCCTCTCTCTATTCGACGCTTTGATAAACGGAAGACGAGCTTCATTGAACGAGCTAAAGTTTCTTTTGTTCTTTTTGATGCCGACGCTATAAAGTAACCAGATATTTTCCAAGCTCACTTTTATTTTTACAATCCTGGGTGCGATGCGAAAATCGAACTATAATAAATAGAAGAAGAGAATTTTCGAGTAATATGCAGTCCCTGGCCTTAACGATTGAAAAAAAAAATGCAACGTCAGTGCTATTCATTATTTTTTAATCGCTTGATTGGAAAATAACGAGAGAAGTAATATTTTTTATCAGTAGTGTTTTTTGTTGAATTTCGTTAAATTCTTAGTCGATAACGTAATCAATGAAATCATTATAATTTGACGCCAGTCATTGAGAATTTTGTTTTGATAACAGCACATATGTTGGATTTCAACGGATAAAGCTGTTGATATATTTAAAAAAAAAGCAGCTTCATCATTGAAAACAATAAGATTACAAACTGCGTTGTTTTCTCTTGTTTAGAGAGAATAATATAACTCTTCTCGTTATTTTTATCATCATTGAAGCAAGCTGAAAAAACAACACAGAATAAGGCAGCCGTCGCTCGGCTCTTATGAATTGTTGAAAATTAACTGCAACACACATCAGCACTTCAATTCAGAATTTTTCTGATGCGCGAATCACGCGTTTATTTGTGTTATCCGCAGCGGTGAAATGGCTTTCACACGCAAGTGCGCATTTTTTCCACTTCATCCTCTGCTTAGTGTGGCGTATTAAAAAAATACGGCCCGAGCAGCAAGTTTCTGAAGCACACTCGACAAAACGAGAAATCGTTGTTTTTTTCTTTTTTCTTTCTAGAGCGCAACCGCTCTCGGTGACCTAGCGTAAAGTGTACACTCGCCTCTCGGCAAAGCTCGAGCGTAATCTCAGAAATGAAAGTCATTATGTCGCCAACAGCAGCAGCAGCTGCTCCGGTTTCGGAAAAAGAACGGGAGAGAGAGAGGAGCGAACACACCTCGCGAAATTCACGCGTCCGTAAATCGCGTATGGACGAATTGAGCAGCTCTGCTGGGGAGGGTTAAGTTGGTTATAAATTCTTAGCCGCTGGCATTACCTCGCTTGCAGCGGCTTTGAATTTAACGCCTTCGCCGGCTCGCTTTTACGGGCCTGCTTAGAAGCGAGCTTGGTTCCCTCCAAGCACTCTGAGCTTGTGTATATGTGTGAAATCGCCCGCGAGACGTATCGCGCCTGTCACAGAACGCTGCTACTTTGGATTCGCGCGTTTCATGCACCACCACACACCGAAACTCCAAATGCCCGTACGCGCGAATTATACGACTCTTGCGCCGCCGGCGCTGCCGACAGCGACGGTACGGGTTATCGTCGTATAAACTGCCTTAAAAGCATGGCATTCCACTTGAGACGCTCGTGGAATACGAGAACTAGCCGGGGGAAAAAAGTGCTGATGTCTGATCGAAATGGCTCTGTACTACTTATACGCGAGCTCAAACATGACAACACATCGAATAAAATACTTTTTTTTTATTTCATCCGATGATATTATTTCTTTCAATGTAAGCGCGGAGTTTTCATCTTACTCCTCTATTCTGTATAGAAATGCTCAGAGAGGTTGAGATCTTTCATCTTTCGCCACTGGACTCTGTAAAGTACAGTTAGAAATGCTGCTGAAATCTAATATCCAATATATCGATAAGGAAACCAGTAGTATCTTCAAGAGCCACTTTCGGTCCGGTGAAAGGCTTGCGGCAGAAAAGTATAATCTTGTTAGCGGTGACGTTTGAAATCACTGTAGTATATTAATGCGTTACATTCACACAAGGGGTAAAAATGGCAACTTAAGAGAGCCACACACCGACAACGTGCAGATACGTTGGAAAAGGAAAAGCGACAAGCACTGGAGTTAGCGAAAATTCCAAAGCACAGCATTCCACGAGAAAGTATTAAGAATGCATGGTTGTGTGTTGCAGGTAGAGACGGAGTACCAGGACCAGTAGGTCCACCGGGACCGGCAGGTATGCCAGGTACGTAGTCATCGATCGTCTACATACACATACACAATTATTCGAAAAAGCGTCGCAGCGCGGCAGCGTCAGCGATTAGCCGAGTTGGCTAACAGCTTAGACTCATACCGGTTGATTAAATACGAAACGATCGGGGGCAACGCCGGACTGCCACGCTTAACGAGCGCTTAATTACTTCGTTATCTCGTTTCTTTGCCTAGTCGTTCCCTCTTCTCCGGTTCGCGCCACGCCCGAGTACACAACTTCGGACCTTATATAAGTACGCTCGTCACGTTAATGCACGCAACTTTGGCCGGAAATTAATTTCGTACCCTCCACTTGACCTGCATGAGCAACTGCTGAGCTCGAGAGATTCCTACTTGGCTGAAGAAAAAAGATAAGGAACTTGATGCGCCGTGCTCGATTGATACGTACTCGATACCGGCATTTTTTTCTTGTGCTTGTTTGACGATACTTTTCATCGAATTAGTGCTTGCTGCCAGGCGCGAGAAAGTTACAAAATTCTTATTGAAAGCTTCATCTGATCAAGTTCCTTTTAATCAGTTTTCAATATCCGGCTCCGAGAGCTTTCAATTCCTGCTTCTTCGCGACTTTTCGAGTAACAATTTCAGAAATATATATTTGCCGATCAATCGACGAGGTTTTCATGACAAAACGTCATTTCGACTTCGATACTAAAAAATAACTTGGAATACTAGTAAAAAATAGGTTGAAAAAACCATATATGCTGCTAAAATTACAGTTTCTAGTCAATGGGCGCGCCACCGCGTAACATTCAACGTGAACGCGTGAAAACCAGAACAAAGGCAGACGAACCGCAGTGCGGTCGAATAACATCGCTCTGTTGACGTCTGTTGCAGGTAGAGCGGGTATGCGGGGGCCGCCTGGTCAGGATGGTCGACCTGGAGCACCAAGCATTGTTGCTTATACACCTTTCAGAAGCAACTCCAGTGATATCTCGCTCGACGCTAAGGACATCCTCATTTCACCTTCCATTACGGGTGAGTCCTAATTATTTTTACACTCATTTATATGTTAAAAGCAATTTGAGTATGCGTTTTACGAAGAAACTTGCATTCATACTGTCCGCTTTTCAAAATACCTTCGTGTTCTCTTTATCTCATGAATTAACATGTCAAATCAACTCTGAAAATGTTTACACAACTTTGATATTTTTTAATTGTGAGCTTCATTTCAGTTACAAAAAAAAATCGGTGAATGAAAATCTTGTTAACGCATGACATTTTGCGATACTCCCAAACCAGGTACGCGATTAACAGGCTGAAAATCGTCGAGACCAGAAGTTCGATCTACTCGAAAACAATGGCACATAGAATTCAAAGCCTTTTCATCGAGTCGCAGCCGCTCGCTTAATTTATTATTGCCGCTGGTGGTCTGCAATTCTATAATAATTTACGCGATTTCGAGATTTCCGCGCGAACAGCAGAGGTCGGTTTTCACAGTGAATTCGAGAATTTTATAGAAGATTATGTATTTTACGATTTAATTGGAAAGTTGTCCGATAAGTTCGTTTGCGAGATGTAATTCAAGTCTCTTGAATTTCAGTCGAGAGCTCACAAAATTATAGGACACTCGTCAAGGGACTCAACGTGAATTTTAGTTCTCATTATTTCGCACACTGGTCAAATTTGCTAAAAGAGACTAGTTCTCAAAATTCGTTTTAGTATTGCGATTTTCGATTATTTAACTTGTTAATAAAAAGCGCGAGTAAGATTGTAACAGAAGTCTAATACCGCTTTCGGATTCATTAACTTCAATTAAATTAGCTGGCTTCTTGAGATTTTTAAAGTCAATATGCAATTCATTCAAATTGAAAGCCAATAACACAAGTAAAGTAGTGTATTAGAATGAAAAATTGGACAGCTTTATACGCCACGAGCGATGAATTCACAAAGTTACGAAAAATTATAACAAATCCAACGTGCTCACTCGGAAATAATCGCGGGGAGAGAGACTGAACTTGCAAAAGTAATTATTCACTTCTAAGTGGGAAATGGGAGAACTTCCGATGGCATTTCCATGCGCAAACTCCATATCGAGTTAGTATTATTCAAAGTTCTTCGCGCACATTGAGCTAGTCGAGAAATTTGACAACTACTTTTAACAGGATCAAGAAAATGACGATTTTGATGTACTTTTACAGGCACAAGTAATTCACAACACCAGTATATAGTGGTCGAAGAAGGAGTAAATGTACGCTTAGCGTGTGAAGCCTCTGGCAATCCAACACCCATAATCCAGTGGCACAGGCCCGATGGATTGCCCATACAGACTGGCTACTGGCACGGTGAGTAAACGTTTTCGTTTCCAGATTATTTTCAATAAACATTTGATTTATCTCGTTTTTTGGAATAAATATGCTTTTCTTAGGTTTGGACGTTATTTTTTAAAATAATAATAATAATGTTATTTATTAAAATAATTTATAAAACTAACGCAAGAGTTAGTTTTATTTTTTTAGTAATTCATGTACTCAATATCATTGAGCGCTAATCCAAACAAGTCTGCTATAACTACGAGTAGATTAAGCTATCATTATATCGAGAAAAAAACGAGCACTTAATTGGATCGAGATTAAGTAAACGCTTACTCAACATGTCGTTACTTGAGTGACTCAAACCATTACAGAATAGGCCAAGAGATTATTTAAAATTTCGAATTTAATTAAACTGAAAATAGATTACGTTCATTTAGTAATAATACACCAAAATCTGAATATTTTTGGTTAAGCACAGTATGCAATTATGATTATGATGAAAGTATTGAACGCTGTAAATTTTACAGGAGAAAAAATTGTATCGATAAAGCTTTTATAATACAGTACACGTACGATCAGTAATGTGAGTGTTCTAGACGCAGTAATATCATTAATACGATCAATTCGTGCAATCGGAATCAAGCCGATTGCAAGCGGAGATTGCATTGCAATAGTCAAATGCACATGCTCCTAGATAATATCGGTCATTTTCTTTGATCTCATAGTGACATTAATGGAAAGGGCTATACAACGTTTAAATGAGCTTACGAGCAAATCTGCCGACGCGTATATATCTGCTGATAGCCCGTATCTGAGCTTCTCTCTTGCATAACGCGTGTGATCATCAGTCTTCGCGCACTTGTGGCCGAACGTTAATTAAAGTTCGTAATTTATATAGAAAATTTTGGAGCAGAGAATATGACATTCAATATAGCGCTGATTTATGGCTGAGAAAGTTTTCAAAAATTTCCAGAAAATCGTTTAAGAACTGCGAAGCCAAGAATAAATCGTCTCTCGTCTGCTGCGTGTCGCCGATTGCATAATTTTAACGCGATAAAAATAAAAAAATAGAAAAAGGAACAAAATAAAAAAGCTATAAAACTGCCTGACGCACACACACATATATACACATGGTCCCTGGTTAAATGCAAAACTTCCTGAGGCGCTCTCAGGCGTCAGGCGATATATTCGCACGTAACAAAGTAATAAAAACAGCGAACGTTGTTGAATTATAATCGTGAAAATCTCGCGGCAAGTCGTAATTCATATTCCCAGGTCTAATTACGCAGATTCGAGATAAAAAGTAGGAGAAGAAGATGGAGGAGGAGGAAGAGAAGAAAAAAAGTTCGCACGCAGCTTGTTAAGTAAACATCGTTAAAGGCTTTCTTTGACTACGCGTGTATATGTGCACAGGTACAAAAGACAATACGCACGAAAATCTCGAGAGGCGAAGCGGAACGAATTAAAGTGCTTATTACGCCGAGTTTATTTTTCTCGACGAGAAGAGAGAAAGAGAATTCACCTGCTCCCCGCGTCTCGGATCTAATTTACCCTTGCAGCAGTAGCAGTAGCAGCAGCTGCTTCACTCGGCATAGGGAATTATGCGACTACGACTATTGCAGTAAAACTCTCGGATGCAGAACTGAAAACAAAGACATCGCGCGACAAGTGGCTCTCGCTCGCAAGGACCTCTAATTAGGAGGACCTCTGCCAGCGAGTGCGTGAAGTTAAACGCGGCGTACGCCGTTACAGCGAGGCTAATGAGAACGCGATGACGACCACACTCGAGCCCGAACGCGAGACTCGACAATGTTCTGCGAATACTGCTATACCTTAACAAATATACACGCGAGTTTTCTACTTTACCTGCGGCTTTGAAGATTGTATTCCGCGTTTATTAGCGGTTTCAGTAGTACGGTCAGTTATATGTCAGCCCTTCGACAATTTAATTAGTTTCACTTTGTCAAATTAACTTAAAGTTTTAATGATATTTAATTTCGCCCTGAGCTAAACTTTTCACGACTGCTGCCTGTCATTGACCAGTATTTTCAGTAAAACAAACCTTTTATGTTAAACAACAGAGTATAGTTGCATCATTCAATGTATCGCCACGACTATTTGATACTGAACAAACTGTTCGATATTTCAGTAGGCTCAAGTGAGCAAAGCCATATATTCTCCGTTAATTAATGAACGATGTCAAATGGAAAGAGTTTCGAGGTTACAATAGTGGTTTAAAGAAGGAGATCGACGCTTCTCCTCCTCAAAGTCTGGTGCAACGTCGAGGCAGGCGCGTCTGATTGATAGTGCGTGGCTATACACGCTACGGTGTGTGTGTGTGTGTGGGTGTGTGTGTGTGTAGCATCGACCTTTGAATGCGGAATGAAGTTCGGCGCGGACAGCGATGACACCCACCGGCGCTTAACTGACCAGAAATTTCAATCGAGATTGCAACTCGCAGTCGGCAACCGATCACACCCAGAGTCTACTTGGCTGCAACTGCTACTGCTGCATGATTTGCGTTGAGAATGCGCCAATGCGTGGTTTTGCGGTTGAATAAGATCATGCAAATTCGCACTCTTGACGCTCATTTAAACGAGCTCTCAGTTACCGTGCTACGTTCCTCTTGAATTTTACAATTATACGTAGGGGCATTTCATATATAGCAGCGGAAGCCACCTTGCCGCTCGCGAACTGCAGCTGCTGCTGCAGAAGCAGCTTTTGTTTTCGTGTAGTGTGCGCAATGTGTGCCAGGATTATTGAACGTGTGCATGTGCATCGAAAGCTTTAACAATGAATGGTACAACAATGCGAAAAACCTCCTTATATTTTCTTTGTTTTCGTCCAACTCCACGAAGTTGCTCGAACCAAGTGTCGATGGGAAAGTTGATGTGGAACGCAAATGTTATTAGGGGCCTCTTTCCGCGTCACAGCACGAAGAAAGTTTATTTACTCTGATAACCCCTCAGTCGAAAGTTGGTTTATTGTTCTCTGTTGCAGCGTCCGCAATTTATGGAAACTCCTTGAATCTGTCCTCGGTGCACAGGGAAGACATGGGAAATTATACTTGCACGGCAGACAATGGCATACCGCCAAGCTCGACAAGGAAATATCGACTCACTGTGAAATGTAAGTCACCCGTATTTTCACGCAACTTTTGCTACATTATCAACGAACATTTGCCTTTATATTTCGGCTGTGATAAACGTTGCCTGCGATTCCATTTTGTTATCTGTTCACGTGTGCATAGGGCAAAAATATTTTTTCAACTCGACTAATAAATAAATGAAGCGAACGATGCGGTGTACGTAACAGATAGAGTAGCAAGTCAGTCGTTGGATCAATTGACCGCTTTATATTGCCGGCCTCGCGGAAACAGTGATGACAGAGTTATGTTCGTACATGAAAGATCCGCCAACGCGCCGTGTTTCACCAGATTATGACACGTTAGCATGCCAACCAGCACCTCCCTTCGTCAAATATCTACCCAATCGAATTCACGCCCGAGGCCTGTTGACTTTATTTATTACTCTGGCCCTCTCCCTCTCCCTCAGTCTATAAATACCTCAATCTCGCGGTATCAACGGAAATTTATTACTCTATATTTACATTGATCCAGTTATGTTGGCTCTGACGTTAATGAGGATTGCTAACTGTCGAATTATTCGACTGACAGCATCGGTATAAATCTTGATTACAGTGGAGCTTGGTAGAATATTTTAACAAAGAAACAACCAGAAACCTAGTATTTAATTTAACAACTAAACTTTTCATGATCGTATACATACTTCAACTTTATCCTTTCAGACAAGATATTCCAACGAAAATAGAAAGTCTTGTTTAAGAAACATTTAATTTCATGCTCCGTTTGCTACTTTGCAAAACAAAAAACTTTCAAGTTGCGATAATTTTCTAGAAATCTTCGAGACAAACTTATTTACCCCTGAGCATTGGTTTGATCAAAGCCCAATGTTTCAGCCGCGTAGGTAAAAAACAGTCTAGACGCGACTTATTTGGCTTGTAAGCACGCATTCATACTGAAAAGAGCATTGCAAAGGAGTGCAATGAAAAAAAAGAAGCAAAATCAAGCTGAAAACGCTCTCGACTGTAAATGCCGGCGCTTCCAGCCTGCGTGTCATTTAGCACAATTATCGTAGCCTCGATTGACAGTTCTCTGCTGCTGCCGTCGCCACCACCACCGCGGCGCGCTACGTTCACTCAGACGTCTACGCTCTCGCGGCTGTCAGTCGATATCGTGCTATTATGGCTGAGCAAGTCATTGCGCACTTTGACTGCGCGTCGGCCGCGCGCAGCACAATGACCGAGTGAGAGTCTGCGGCATTGCGAACATGTCTCGCCTGCAAACGGAAGGAAAGGCTGTTTTCCCGTCTGCTCAAGTTAGCGCGCGACTTTTCGTGCCATTCGAGTTTGAGGTCGTCGCCGCACGTATCACGTGGATTTTGCGTTGCGGTTGTATAAATGATATGCGTTGTTGTTAGCACGCTGTCGCGTATATAAACCGTGCGTATTCATTACGTAGTTAAATAATTAGGACATGTTTTGACAGTGACTGTTATATTTTCTGCGTAGGATCAAGCTACCAATGTCAGAAGCTTACTGTATATTTTAACTGCACATTTTCATTCTCGTGTTGTTCAATCGTTCAACCATCTATAACATTGAGTAAACTTCAAAGCGGTACTTTAAATATTTGATTCCCTTTCGGTAACTCTATGGTGTAATGAATTTTGAAAAATTCATCTCGACTCCATCGTCATATTATTTGATTTTCACATACGTATCAGTTTTAACGAATAGCTAACAACGAACATAATCATCATGGATGAATAATTCGCAGTCGTGCCAAAGTTGCAAATGTAGTTTGATATAATATCTGATTACGGATCACTAATTGAGAGTATCATTCGAATAATCATCAGACTAGATAAGAATATCGACATCGTGTTTGATAATTCACATTCTGATAAATCCTGTTAAAATAGTGCAAGTGGTATAGCCTGAGTTTGGTCGGGCGTAGACGCACATAATAACGCACTATGTCAAAGACCTCGCAAGCTGAGTTAACAGTAACTGTTGATAATGCACGCATGCTACCGTAGATGGACCACTAATAAGGATAAGGTCGCCTGTGCTGCGAGTACGCGGAGGATCGAGCGCGTCCCTTGAATGCGAGGTCGACGCGAACCCGAGGCCGGAGCTCTACTGGGAGACAAGAGACGGCACGAGACTCGATGCCAAGCCCGACAAGTACAAGATGCATGACGAGGACTACAAGAGCAATAAGGTATTATTATTATAATCGATCTCGGCCCTGTCGCCAGATGCTCTCCTATTACCATGAGTTACGGTACCCAACCTCTCATTAAGACACATGCCTCTGCCGCCACCGCCGCGGCGCTATGCTATACACTGCTTTAGCCTTGTGCTTAGTCTCTCGACGACTGTAACGATGATTTAAGCTAGCTGCGACGAAAGTTTTTCTGCTTTCTTTTTGCTCCTTCGCGAAAGGCAAATTTTATTGAGAGCGATGGGCGTCGGGGAATTCTCTACAAAAGGAAAAGTGAAACGGTCGAATCGCTGGCTTTTATCTTCGGCACGTAGTGCGTGCGCAGCTGTGGTATTTCCGATAAGCGAGCCTATTATTTCTAGCGTTTTCGAGGATTGCACGGTTTTTCTGAGGGATGGAAGTGATTTCGTTTGTCCTTTCTTTCAAATAGATCATGCGATCAGTCTGAATAATTACAAAATATACTTAACGTTTGACGGTCGTGTAAACGAGTTTTCAGACAAATGCCACAAAAAATTCATCTTTTATATTAGCACTTTAGTTCTAACACAGTTATTCACCGTCGTATTGCTATCGTTTCGAAATTTTACTTTTTTAGGATAACAATATTAATATAAAAACTTATATTTGTCCAGGTGAAAATGAAGTTGCGAGTTAGCAGGGTGCACTCGCTTGATTACGGCATATATTATTGCGTAGCGAGAAACGCAGTAAATCTGGCAAAAGGAGTGATAACGATCAAAGGTGTGCTTATAATAATAATCGCGGGCCCAACGTTGCGAGCAGGTATAATGAAGTTTTGTTCTGTCGTAGACGCGAACGACAAGTCGGCGGATACGAAGGGTGTGGCACAGTTCGGCAAGTTGCCGCCGCAGCGACCGCAGTTCCGGGATCTCTGCCCGCCTCAATTAAACTGCGACAGCTGTCCGCGGGCCAACTGCGGATTCATGGGGGTCGAGGTGAAGCCCTTGACTGGCATCAATTTCGCAGGCATGCCTCCACGAATCGCTGGTACGATTAGCCTCGACGCTATCCCTTTAGCGCCCTCGCGACACCTCGAGATCTTGGATTAGCATTAAATTTATAGGCCAAGGATTTTCGTTGGCTATATACCTAATGTTAAAAAATAAAAAAATACAAGTCGACTCTAACAAAATAAAAGCACCGAGAAGCGACATTTGCGAATCTAAGCTGCGAAGCTTTAATCAAAGAATGACTTTGCAGACGGAGTGATCGGCGCAGTGGGTATCCCTGTGTTCAAGGGTAAAATGGATGACATGTACGGGGTGTGGATGCAAGACTCGTCACCGAAGAATGAATCGGCGGCTAATAAACTATGGGTGACTTACAGTAATGATACATACCACATCTACGAGTTTCCAGAGGTTGAGAGCTTTGGACAGAGAGCGCCAAGGGGCATCAAGCTGCCCTATCCGTTCAAGGTATTTCAGAAATGACTCGCGGGTTTACTCGCGCAGGAGATCCTACAAAGTTCGGAATTTCTTGGGCTTCTATTAAATTCGTGCGCGCTTCCGTGACGTTGAAGCAAATTATTCAAAGGATTTCTTAATAAAAATGAGCAGTCACCAGAAAATTTTGCTTCTTTTCTTCGTCTTCTCTTCTTCTTTTGCCTTTGGTGTCGACACGTGCTTTATTAGTCGATTTATATCGTTCGGTATGGTTAACTGGATAATTAAAATGAATGAATATAATTCAGTCAAATTTCATTTTTTATGCGTTAGTTGATGGATTCAATTTACCGAACTGTCGTACATAAAAATTGAAAGGACGTGAACTTGAAGCTTATCATTAATGTCATTACGATTTTAATATGAAATTCGTGGTATTAATTGCGGAGAAGCTTCACTCCTGCAGTGATGCATTCAATTTATTAGGTTACTTTGCCAAGTAGTATTACGACAATGCCTTATTAGAAAATATTAATTCTCCGTAATATGACCGTCTCATTTACTTTAGGCTGCGTTTCATCAATCAAATGCAAATGACATTAAAGTCATATCTTTTTCATACAGATTATGATGCTACAGCCAATACTTTTCGAGAATTTTTCAAACAAACTAAATTACTTTAATCTGGGAAGTTAAATTTTTTCAACGAGCGTAGCATGCGAATACAGTGTACCACGTAAATTTCCATTTAAAAGTAATGTTCATCCAGCTTAAAAGTCTTGAAATTAGCAGTTGCGCGGTAAAAAGCTCTTTCTTAACGGCAGACGACAGTACAACTAAGCTGCGGTAGAGCCAAAGTCTGGCAGCTTGCAAACACGCGGCGCAAGTGTATAAGGTTCATTAGTTCGAAAGCGCAATTTGCAAGCTGGCAGGCGGACATTTTGACAAGAAGCTGCAGCAGTAGTTTACGTAGCCGCGGCGTAAAAAGCAGCAGCAGGAAGATCGAACGCGAGGCGCAATGTTGCAGGGCAACGGACACCTAGTGAACGACGGCTATTTCTTCTACAACCCGTCGAATCGCTCGTCAATCGTCAGGCTGGACTTGGACCATTCGACCGGTACGATGCACGCTTACGGCAGACTGGAAATGGAGCTGCCAGAGCTGCGAGTCAATACCGGCAATTATCTGTACACGCCTGGTCATAACTTCAACTACGTGGACTTTGACGTGGACGAGAACGGTAGGATATTAGCTCTTGTGAGACCATTAATTGACTCCCTCCCGCTGCACGCGTGCGGCTCGAGAATGCTCTTTGATTCCCGTTGGAAACTGATCGTGCTTCGATTATTAAGATTCCGTCGTGGGACAATGCTTAGATACGGCTTCGTTAGTGCGCGCGCTTGATCGCGATATCGATATGAGCCCGGGGATTGTGCGCTACGTGTAATACGTCTTTTCAAAGTCGAGAGCTCGTGCGACTTTTGATTAATTTCGGCTGGCCCCATTGTGTTGTAATCCTACTAAGCGCTTATTGTGCGCGGATCAAATGGCAAATCAAAAGCGAGCGCTCGGATTTTTATACGCGAGCTTGCGCTGCGTGTAATCCATTGGCCAATATGTTCCGCCCAGATATAATATGAGCTGATTCTCTCTGATCTGTTCAACTAACTCTGTCGCTGACGTTATCTTGATTTTCGCATCGCAAGCTTGCTATCGTCAAGAATTTGCTCAAAAACGTCGTGCTTTCTATTAAAGCGTCATATTCCTTTTTGCCGTACTACGTCAAATACCTATATGAAAATTTTTAATGTAAAATAAGCTTTACGGTTGTTGCTATGCAAATACAATACGGTACTGCAATATATATAGAAGCTTCTGCTATGAAAGCTTTTATCGAGTAATCGAAAGTTGCCCAAGGCAATAAATAACCAAGCGTTCGCAAGTACGTCGATAAACGAGCGACCACTTAACCGCCAAAGTTTATTTGTCGTTTCTTTTTTTGAAAGTCTCGCGTACGTAATATAAGTACATGTCTGTTGAATGAGCAGGTTTATGGGCTATTTACGGCACAGCCTCAAACGGTACTGTAGTGATGAAAGTCGATCCCAAAACCATGACGGCTCAATACGCCTGGAGCATTAGCGTTGACCACCATAAATACAACGAGATGTTTGTCGCTCGCGGAGTACTGTATGCGGTTCACAGTGCTGGCGAGTCTGCCTTCAACATAAGGTGATTCATATGTTTACTTTATCACTTTTCACTATCGCGCGCGTTCGTTGCTTGATATGTCCAGTTTATTATCGAGCATTTGCGGCCATGCAGAGGCTCAGTCTAAAATACGCTGCACCCTATTTTGTTTTCTTTATGGTTACATTTATCAAGCGATATCTTTCTTAACTTTGTCAATGGCTTTTTTCTATATTTTCTTTTCAATCGTTAGCGAGTTCTTATTCCCTCTTTGCTACTTTGAAAGTACCATCTGCAGTACTCTCTCGTTACTTCACAACTTTTCATCGTCACATGGAAATGTTGCAGTCTAGCAGTTGATCTCTATCAAGGCAAACACCTCGAAGGAGTTAGTCTTTCTCTCAACGCTTATGGAAAAATGACGCAGCTACGATATAATGACGGAGCAAAAGTGAGTACTTCGTTTCTCTTGGTTTTGGCACTTAAAAAAAAAAAAATTATATGTATATATAACGTACAGGTCGAAAAAATAGTTCGGTCTTATACAGTTGAAACAGAATTAAAGTAATATTTTTGTTTCTAACTTGATATTTAAATTACTTGGCTTGAGTTGCGATCTTTTATTAAAAACGAGAAAGTTGAGGGAAATAATATAAGAATATCTTCAAGCGACATTACCTTAACGAGATTTTTTGTGTTTCGTTACCAAAAAAAGTATATTGTTATACTTATTATAAGCCGCCGGTAGGATGATTATTAATACAATCCGAAGCAGCCGTGTTGATATAAGAAAGCTCCATTGGAAATACTGAAAGTTCAAGTCCGAATTAAATTATATCAGAGAAAACTCGTTTTGGAATGTTTCTCTTATGGCTGTCTATGAGTTATGTATCATAATTCTGAAGCACGCAGTCCTTTCGTGGCTTGCGACCTGCAAAGCAGCGAAGCGTAAATCAGGCGGCTCGTGCTACCGCAATTATCAGCATTTTACTTGGCTGCTTGGCATTCCCAGCGGAACTCGATTAATTGATGCGTACTTCCGCGCAGCTCATTTACATGGAAAATCTCGGGCCTTCTGCGCTCTCTCTCTCTCTCTCTCGCTCTTTCTCGTCATGATAAAATTGGATTTGGCTTAATTTAACAGCTTTTTCACGATTAACAAATGGTTGCCATGAATTCTGATACGACTAAATTCAATTTAATTAAAGATATTTATTTACTTTTATTATAAACGTGCATGAAATTTTTCTTCATTATTTATACAGAGCAATAACTTAGAAGAAAAAAGAATTTTCTTATTATTAAATGAAGATGATACTTTATATTACAATGAATGTCATGTGGAAAATCCCTTGAAAAAATCACGGGAATTAAAAAAAAAAGAAAGAAAAAGTTAGCCCGAGTTTTTTTTTTATTCGAGGCAGTCTCGACCCACATTGAGCGTCGACGGAAATAGAGCAGCGTCAGTCAACGTCAGATGGACTAACATTTGTGTTTTACGTCTTCATTCGCAGGAGTTGTATGCTTGGGACAACGGTTCATTGCTAGCCTACCAGGTCCGTTTTTAAGCTTCTGCAGTCAAAGCCTCGCTGCAAAATCATGCAGAGCTGGAATATCGACAACCAGGCTGACTGTTGCGGGATTGAACGGACAAAGCCGAGCTTCAATAAGCTGGAACACTCACACGTACACGCGAAAAAAATTGTGATCTTGGATTTAAAAATGTTTGTTATTTTTTTCCCTGTGCTGCGTGTTTTGTCGTTGAAACGTTAATGTATTTTTCTCCGTGATTTCACGAGATACCCAAATGCTTGGGACCTGACTAATGGTGACGTATTATTTTCGTATCGTAGAAGGGCTCAGACTTTGGACGTTTGACTGACATTTGATAGTCGTCTAGAATTGAAACTAGGAAAGTAGTTTTTGCAAAATGACCTTTTCACAAAATAGTGTGCATCGTTCTATTCTGCATGGTGTACATAACGAGGCTGGCGGGGCTGTGTCACTGTATGGCCATAGCAAATACCGTTGAGAATGCATTACAGTGCAAATTGACACTCCCGACAGATTTTTAAATAGAACTCGCAGATCTCACGTTCGAATGGTAAAATAGATCAATTGTGCTATCGAGCCTCAGTCATTGACAACGCTGACACGCGAGAGGCAGAGGGATGCACCAGCGAATTTCTTTGATTCGCTGTCGTTCTTTCGGTAAAATAATAATCGCCACTTTTTGTCCGACCAATCATCAAACGCTGTTGAACCCAAACAAAATTGGAAGCGAAAAAAGGCAGCAGCTCGTGCGTTCATCGAACCGCGGTATTATTATTTGCCATTCATTTTGTTGGCGTCCGGAGCGGCATCGATTTTTTTTGTTCCTTGTCCCCAACCCCGGCCGCGCGCGTTCCGCTCGGCTTTTTACGCTCAATGATATGTTTGCTACCACAGCGTTATTACGTTTTCGACATTCCTTTTTTACCACGTTAATGGTCGCTCGACGCCTTTGTTTGGTCTTTCATTTACCCTTTACGCGCAGCATTTGTTGCCAAATCCTTGGTTTGGTGAAAAATGTAAAAGACCAATAAAAAAAGGATAAAACATGCATAGGCATCTAGAAAAGACAAAACAAAATACAATATCACTCGATTGGAAACCAACTGCACGATAATTATGTACATTACGCTGTCGTTTCACTTCAACCTATTTTACAAATGTAGACAAGATATCAAATAGCTGAGGTTTTATAATCTCCAAAGCATTTTTTCGGAGCTGTAACATATTTATATAATCGTTGAAACGATACATGTATGTTTTATAATAAATGAAAATTTATCGACCTTCGCTGTGATTGCCATTTAGGATAATTACCTCTCCAAATCCTTGCCGGATAATGGCCGGAAATTTTCTATAGTCCAGACGGAAATCAAGTTGAGCTGAAAACTCATTACGGATCCTGTCAATTACGCCGGCGCCGTGAAGTTGGAACAAAACATATTAAAAATCATGCTAATCACATTTCACATTACTGCATTATTTCGGCCTACCGACACCTGATGAAATTTTAGTCATTGCAAAGTATCATTTCAAATTATCAAGCACAGAAATAGAGATATTTAAAAATCAATTAGCCTGAGAAAAAAATCGAAAATAAGAAAATGGAGAAAATCTGTTCAAAACAGTACGCTATTCCTCACAGCGTTAAGGTAAGTTTATAAAAGAGGTTAACCCCAAAAGTGTTTGTCGAATTGGTTGAGGCCATCGACGTCGAATCAGGTTTTCGCAGCAGCGTTCCTTATCGCCAAGTACCTGAATAAGCCCAAAGCCCCAAGCGACAATTGCCCACCGAACGAAATAAAGAGACTGAATAAGGACAAGAATTTAATGGAGCACATCTGGCGGTTGGCACCTTACAACTATAAGTTGAGTGATCGCGACCCGCCAATATCGAGCCTTGAGTTGCTGATGATGCTGAGCAGGAAAGAGTTCGAGGTTATAAATCCGCCCCAAGAGTCGGAAGCCAATCTGTCGAACGTGAAGTTGCACTACGACTACCGGCAAGTGTACAAACGCATCAGACTGTGACTTGGAAAATGTAATAAATTAATGAATTAATGCTCCCTCATCATTAACTATTCACTCGACTTTCGCCGCAAGCATCTTAAGGTCGCGTACAAAATGCACATAACCCTCGTGCGCGCACGCTCTCTAATCATGAATGATAGCCAAGCGCCAGTTTTCTGTTCAGCTTTATCGGCAGTTCTCCTTTTCGCCGTGTATTTCTCGTGGAAGAATTTCCTGTGGCAAGAGTACATATATGGCCGCTTTATCGGAATATTCGAATAGAATCCACGTATCTCAAAATGATGTTACTCCTGGATATTCGATTTGCTCCCTTAGAATATACGTGGATTATACGCGGTGAGTGCACCTATATGCCTGGCTTACCTCGTCCAAATATTGGGTATTGGCAGGAATCTGGCCTACGTCATACACGTAATACGAACATGTGTACTTGACGAAATGAGACGGGAAAATCTTCCAAACTCTTTTTTAATTTTTTTTATTATTTTGGAGATCGATAAAGTTTCCAGTCCCTTCAAAGAGGAAGTGCTTCTACCAAGAAAAATAAGAGGAGCACTTTCAATGGTTGCAACACTAAGAGAACGTTGATCGAGAGCTTTCAGGCTTACATGGCTTGTTGAAATTACAACGAGAAGGACTTTGGTTAAGCACGTCCGCGGCCTTGCTTTTTATCACAAACTTTGTTCATCTCGCTGCAATCCCGGCAGCAATCGCACGTACGTACACATATAGGAGCCTGAAAATATTGCGCGAATGAATGCTACGCTTCTAACGCACGAGTTTGCGTATCAAAACTTGTTGTTACTACTCTATCCCTTCCTAACTAGTCTCTCGCTTGTTGTACGCAACTGCTAGTCATAAATAATTGCACTTGCACGCAATATGATTCGCTCCAGATTAATTTGCGTACTTTGCCTCTACGAAATTAATTGGGGAGTTTTTTTATTTACGATGCAGTTGCCCGACGTAAGCGTAGTTATTTTTCATTAAAAGTTCACTCAACTTTGGACGAACATTAGAGAATTGGGTATTTGAAAAGTGAGCGACAAAGCATATAATAGAAGCTCGTTATCATACTAAAATTTCCAATGTTAATGAAGCACTCGAAGTGCGAGAACGGATAGCAAAAGAGCGATGTGGGAAGCCAATAGATTTGTTACTTTTACGGGCGCTCGTGAAGAGAGGGCTTCTTGCATATTTCACTGAGAGAAGTACTTTGGCGAAAGATAATCCGAAAAGGGAGACATCCCAATCACACGTGTAAAGTGAAATTCCGTCCAGTAATAAATCGCTCCATAAAATTAACCCCTGGTAGCGAGGCCGTCCACTTTAACATAGCTACGCGAGTTCTTCAGTCGGCGTAAAAGTTAGCTCGTACTACAAGCGAATGACGTGTCACGAAATTGGCTGTGTGAGAGTACAGAGTCGTCGTTTTACAAGAAAAGTTTCAGCCGACGCGTTAAATTGGCATACAAATGGCAATGTATTTATCCGCCGCGCGAGCTTGCTCGCTTCAAGTTTGGAAGCGCTATATCGAGAAGCCGATAAAAATGGCTTACGTGCGCCAAGAGGGAATATTTAAGTGACCCAAGTGAAGAGTGTTCGATCGATTTTTTTTTTTCGATACAACGACACAAAATCTCGCTTGGACCGAAGGGCACTCCTCTCAAAGTAGAATTGTTATAAAGGAGATAGTACGAATGAATCATCGAGGATTAAAAGTTTTATGAGCAGACAAGGGCGCAGAGGAGGGGCTAATTAAAAAGTTTTTTCATTCGACGAGATCGCAAAAGAAGCAAATTCTCTATTTTCTCTTTTGCTTTACGCCAAGTTTAATTTTTTTGTATTCGCGGCGCTGACACACGGCGTGACGCGCTTCACGAGAAGATATAATAACGCTTTCATAGTTTAGCGTCAAAGCTTTTGTAGCAGCACAAAATTATTTCGGGATGAAAATATGTTACCGCAAGCCCGCTGCTACTGCTGCTACTCCACTAATTGGAGCCAATAAACCATTAACATTAATTACCTGCATGAATAATTAATTCCAATTAATCTTCACCGAAATTCAGGTGAACTCATGCCTGCGTTACCTTTGATATACGAATACATTTAATATGACAAAGATTATACTCGTTAAATCAGGCGTACTCGTGAAAATGATTATGAAAAGAATCACTGTAAGTGAAGTATAATGATATTTCATTACTCCAAAAAGTAAAATAATATTCGTATACTTTTCAATCTTTTAATTTTATAAAAGTGATATATCTTGAATTAAAGAGTCATATCGTGACTCTTCGATAAAACCCAGTCAAGCACCATACAATGCCTGTGCAATCGAAAAGCCATTCGATAAATAAACGCAAGAAAAAAGAAAGTCGAATAATCGGATATTCAGAGTTTACACAGAGAGATAGCGACGTGCAAATTCTAATTAGCATGCGAACGTCCGTGGAGCGATGATCATTTCGTATAGATTCGCGCGCGGCGCGTTGTCGACGTCGCCGGCAATACACAGCGCGAGTTTGCCTTGACGCTTATTGTGCTTTTACCTCGCGGATCACTCTCTCCTGGCTATGACAATCGCGTGCTGGTTAATTATCCCTTTTAACTCCTCGTGTTTATTAAATAACTTAACGAACGTGAGCAAGCAATTTTTTTTTATTCGTGTTAGTACGCCGAGTTGTTAGTGTTTGTTTTTGTTTTTTTTTTTTAATTTTCGAATTTTTGACTTTGATGAAAGAGTATCGTTGTGAAAATATCTGATTTCTCGTTTGTGCTTTTGAATATTTCTACTTGATACTCTGTACATATTTCCTCAAGTATTATTTACATTTTTGATATGCACATGTGCATGGCAGCTTCCGCGTAGTTTTCATATTGCGCTAGTCCTCATAATTACACAAATATTCATGTGTACATTAAATTCTCCATGCGCTAATTTTCAAATTGACAAACGTTGACCAATTGATTTTCGTAATTAGTCTGAGATCTTTAAAGTAATAAAATTGGAACGGCCGATGTTTACGGTCAATTACATTAATGAGATAATTTATCAGTTGCAATGGACAATTTGCGTTGTTTAATCAGAGAAACAATGAAAAATGTATAGTATATTCGCTACAGCTGGAAATAAAACCGCGATACTTGCAAGTCTACTTTTAAACAAGATTTATGAGGAAAGTAGAAAAGATCAAGATAGATAAAGATAGCAGTGCACTCTCCTTAATTGGTAAGTGTTCGGTCTCGTTTTACGAATCCTTTTTGTTTTTATCCTAGATATAGTTCCATTTCCCTTTTAACGTGTAGTTCTATAGTGAGTAGTTGTATCTGATTCAGATTTTTTGACAATAAGATATTCATAAATTATCTGGAATCAAAGAATCATTAAACAATCAATAATTCTCACAATTCTAACGTTTCATTTATGAAACAATAGTCAGCTTCATGATACCTTCGTTATGAATTTACTCATTACGTTTGATAATGTATGTAATAAATTTTTTTAGTAAGGAATATTATTTGCCTTTCATTGATTTTTTTATCTCCAGAATAGATGTTTAAAAAAGATTGCATTCGTTACCTCATCTGATTTATTAATGAACACTTGTAATAAATTATACATGAATGATAGTTGTGTTGAAAGCTTAGGCAATAAAGATATCCTTAAAAAGATTGTGAAATGTCGAATAAGTGCACGGTAATTGAGAAAGCGTTACTACACAATCGTTGAACTTTGGTGATTAATCAATGCCAATCGTATTTTAAACTATTCCGTGAATTTCGTTGAGCGGAAGCTCATATCGGTATTTTACGTATATCAATCTATGGCAAATACCGTAAGTCAAGTGGAATCGAAAGCCGCCGTGTTAAGCTTGGGCTTCGTAGCAGCTTTTCGTGATTGCAAGTTCTCCGGGCAAGTATAGCATGCCAACACAATAATTCTGCATAGTATAAAGCAGCTCGTGCAGCTTGTGCGTTATGAAAGCTCGTTCGATCACTCAACGTCAGCAAAGCTTCGCCTCCAATATACATGTGTGTGTGTGTGTGTGTGTGTGTGTGTGTGTGTTTGTGTGTGCGTGGATGCCGCACCAAACAATTCATCATTGCCGTGCTTATGAAAAAAGTACGGAGACGCCCTTCGTCTGCGTCGCTTTTATTTCCTCGCGAAAATTGGCCATAACCCGGGGCGTTTAGCTTACTGTCTTTCGAGACAGCCAATCGGAAGT